TGTCTTATGCTGTCCCACACTGTATTTACAAATTTCAGATCGAACAAACAACAAGCAGAATCTATGCATGGAATCAACTTGGACAGTTGAAATCAGATTTTCCAAATGTATCTGTTTTGCTTTTAACAGCAACATGTAGCCAAACGACTATCAAAAGATAATGACAAGTTTGAATAACTTTAATTTTAATATAATTCAAAATACTTCTTTATATTGACAAGAAATAATATTAGAAATAATACCAAAACTAAGTAAATTAGAAAAACTTTTTGAAAAAATATACAAATATTTAGATATTATAACCTTAAATCGTATAATAATTTATAATACTATAGTTGCACATTGTAATGAAATAGCTATCACATTATAGTGCATCAATTGTAGAGAAATATCATGGGTTCTTAGATGATGTAACAAAAAATATATATTTGGATAGGTGGAAGAATAGATCTATTAAAATTATGTGTATCACTAATACTTTTAGAATAGGTATAAATATTGCAAACATTAGACTTATAATACATACTCTTTTTCCAATATCATTAGACAACTTTGTTTAAGAAATTGGACATGCTGCTTGAGATGAAAAGTATTTTATTTTTCTCTCAGGCAAATATCCGAAGCTTGTTATATATATTGATGGATGAAAGAACAAAGTAAGTTTTAACAAGTACTTATTATAACAAATTAAGGACTAATATATGATTTTTTTAGCTTTTATGAATCTCCAAATAATATATCTAATGAAGAGCAGGTTATTGATATATCAGTTGAACAACAGCAACAATATCTTGCAAAGAGAATACACAAAATACTAGAAATGGTAGCAATATATGAAAATGAATATCAATGTTGACAGCAGTTAATATATAATGAATATTATTAACCTAATGATAGTTTTATTTCTAAATATTAGAAATGTGATAATTGCAAGTGAAAAATTAATGACTGCTATTTGATATAATGTACAAGAAGAAGTATTGCATATATTACGAATTGTGGATCAGCTTTTGAAATGCTGTCATGCTCAAAAATCTATTTTGAAACACATTAACAAAGACATAGTTGATGATATTTTTATAACTGCAAAGAACAAGAAAATTAGTTCTAAAGAATTATCAACTTTTGAAGAATATGGCAAACAAAACAAAATGAGCTATATAACCTCTAAATCTGCTTGCTTATGATTATATGATCAACTAGTTCTAGGAGACCTTATATAACAAAATGTAATATTAAAACCAACTCATTCAGAGTCAGTGATTCTAACACTTGTATAGGAAATTATGAGAATTTTTTCTGATACGACCATCCTGATTACAAGCAAAAATTGAAAAGTATTGGCAAAACCTAATAAAAGAAGGTAAATAATAATTACTTTCAAATTTCAAAATTGTAAATATAAAAATATTTATACAGTGTGGGACAGCAAAACGCATTTAATATTTATTAATAAAACTTTAAAGTGTTATAACTTTTTTAAAACAAGCTAAATCAAAAAACCCTCTGACAAATTAATAGATTTTTAGATAAACTATATTTCTG